TCTTTGAACCTGTCATGGAACAGCTTGACGGGTCAAATCCCCCGTGACATCGGTGACTTAAAAGAGTTGACTACCCTGGATTTGTCAAGAAACCGGTTGTACGGTCAAATTCCTCCGAGCCTTTCTCAGATCGATTTTCTCGCTCTGTTGAACTTGTCAAACAACAACTTGACGGGAAGGATTCCAAAAGGCACTCAACTGGGATTAGATGCTGCTTTTTATGCTGGGAATCCTGGACTTTGTGGGTTTCCACTCGAGGAGTGCGAGGCTCCAGAACCAGAAGGCTCTACTCGCAATGAACAAGGAGATGAAGAAGATAGTTTTATAACTCAAGGATTTTATTTTAGCACGGGGCTTGGATACGCTGTTGGAATCTGGGTTGTTATCGGGACTTTGATATTCAGCGACTCCTGGAGATTCAAATATCTGAAGTTCTTGAGTGACATTTATGATTGGCTTTACGTGATGATACTACTGAACAAGGCAAAATTAGAGAGGATGCTCAAAACATAAAATGTACAACTTCCTTCTCTCTCTCTACTCCCCTTCCTCACTCACGCAAAGGAAGGATTCCATGTGTGTATATGTGTATTGTGGAACTCTTGCTGCTCTATGAGAAAATAAAATAAATAAATAAATAAATAAATAAATAAAACCTAGTATAACTGCAAAAACCAATTTCTCATATTTTATTGTTTTGAGTTGCTAATTTAAACAAGCACATAGCAACCCTTCATTTTTCTCTATCGTTTTGTTTTCTGGTACACAATATCAAGCTTATTATGCCTGGTAAAAATGGAATTTAAGAAGGGGGAAAAAAAAAACAAGAAGAAGAAGAAGAATTTTGAGTTGTTTAGCGCATCATTAATAATCTCGCCGCCTACTGTTGGCAAGGTCGCTGACAAAAGAATCATCGTCATTTTCACATTGCTCCAAGTATTTACTGTAAGCAGGATTATGAGCAACTAGTAACCGGAGATACTCTGAAGCTTCTTCCCTGCGACCTACATTGTATAAAGCACTGAAAAAGCAAATTCGTCAACTTAAGACATGGGAAATAAGGACCGCAAATAATCAAGTATGGTGTACACGTTCTTTAACTTATAACACCACTTAATACCTTGAAAGCAATAGCAATGTGTCGAAATAATGGCCTTTGACCTTTGGATCATCTGGTTCTTTCAATTTTCCTACTCTCTCCAAGTGTACCAATCCTTCTTCAATTTTTCCCTATCTCATACACAGTACAAGAGAAGACCAAGCAATGAAGTCTACCATATTTGTATACATTAGTATAAGTAATATCTTTAACTCCTGTTTTATATAAAGTTATAAAAGTGCGCGCACCTGCTGACTATAGGCAGCACCCGCCCATTGAGATGCAATAATTAAATGACCAAGGGTCTCCACTTCTGTAGGAAACCCATCAACCAAGAGCTGATGATCAAGAGAGCAGATTCAGATCAATGAATAAACAAAGAGATAAACTAAGAAAGAGCTATTCTGAGCTGAATCTCAAAAAGAAGCAAAAGGAGGGCACAAGAGCCAATCCTAATAAATAAATTACTCAAAAAGCAAGTAGATGTGTACGTACATATCCATAACTCTTATGGTAACAGAGAGATGAAAGTGATTTTTACTCTCAAAGACAATGATACGTAATGCAGAGCAAGCTTGACATGTGAAGACGACATGAGGCAAATATGCGTTCAGAGTTTCATACCTTAGAAATGGCACGCTCCAGGTATTTAATGGCCTCCGCAAGCAGTCCTTTCTGCAATAGAGCTTGACCCATGAGAATCAAACCGTGTTCCGACTCAGGATCCTTGGCAAGTATTAACCTGCAATAATAACATTACTACTTCATGCAGCAGCTATTGACAAGCTGCTACCAAACACAAAGAAATTAAAAAAAAAAAAA